ATCATCATCTCCGCCTTTGCCTTTACCGTCTTTGCCATCACCTTTGTCATCATCGTTTTTTCCTTTGTCATAACCATTATCTTCCTCACCGGGGGAAGGAGGGCCGCAAATGGGTTTGCAAGAAGCACAATTGACATGGCAAGAGTCGGGACAGAACTTGGGACAAACATGTTCTAGATTGTAGCAATGTTTGTACTTCTCGTTCTTACATGTTGCATGGCTTGGATTCTTGGCTATGCCCGGTGGTGTATCAGCCATTGTTAGTGCAAGTGATGCGAGTAGTATGCATCCCAATATATGGAGTCTTGTGTGTTTGGCTAGATCCATTGCCAAACCTAACCATGAAATACTAAGTATTTTCCTTTCAAAGACACCCTCCACTTAAGTATCTAATGTAACCACTTAGACTGATATCATGATTAAGAATCCTCCATGATTAAGAATCCTCCATGATTAAGATTTCTGATTCATTTTTGGTACCATAAAAAGATCGGCTCAGTATTTTGTAGCTCTTAGTGCACGAATTGTTGTCTTGGTAGTATCCGAGGACAAAGTTGTTGCGTTTCTTGCGACAGGCTTTGATCCACCTGGTTTGACTAGTACACGGGTTCCAAACCACGAGTCTAGATTCGTCTTCTTGGGAGGTGCATAACAAGAAGCCGTCACAGTGAAAGACCCCAAATATTTGGAATTGAGCTGAATCTATTATATAATTAGGGAGTATTCTCTCCATCTAGGGTGTCCATATAGACACAAATATTTTCTAAAACATTTAAGTTTTAAAATGGTCATTTATTACACACTAAATCATATTTATTGTTTTTTATAAATAATAAAAAAATATTAAAAAACGTGAAAAACTAAATAAAAATAATGAAAGAAAAATTAATAAATACAAAACTATACATGATTTTATTAGTCATGATAATATGAATTTTTTTTACCAAAAATATATATTACACATATAAAAAAAACTAAAAAATGTGTTTATGAATTTTATAATTGAAACAATTAGTAAAAATTAACTGACCTAGTAAAATGTTAAGAAAAAGTAAATATTTTCTATATTATTTTTAAAAGTTATATATCCTATGAAATATGAAAGGTTTTTTCTTATTAAAAAGTTTGTAGTTCAATAAAAAAAAATCTTACATTCAATCACACATTAAGAAGACCAACGTTTAAGAAATAGTATCCTTAAATCTTAATTATTTTTTTACGATGAACAAAAATCAAAACTTACGAGACGAAGATAAATGAAAAAATGCATTAAACTATTTTTATCCATTAAAAAGTCATTTCAAAAATATCTACAAATTCCTTCAACTCTAACTAGCAAAACCCTAAATCAATCTTGAAGAAGAAAACTTACACCTTATTGATGAAGAGATAAGCATTCCCATTCCGCGATTGAAAAAAACTATAAACAACAAGCAAACAAGACGTTGTTCAGTATCTTCCATATGCCACAATACTAAAGACATTGTGAAGTGCGAAGTATAAGAGAATAACAAAGAAACATTGTGAAGACATATGGAAACCACCTATGAATGATAAATCATACTATAAATCTAAATAAGAAAATGATTGATAAATTTTATTTTCAAATTCGTAGTCGGTTATTTAAATATAATATGATTTATCTAATGGCCAAATATATGTACATAACAAAATTTTAAACAAGTAAATTTTAAACAGTAATTTCGGTATTTTCATGTAACATTAAAATTATTTTATTTTTTAAATCAATTATTATTTTATATCTACAAATACTTTGTTGTTTTATC